ACTAGTTGTTTTACTTGTTTACCCTCATGACAGACATTTATTTCTATCACGACGAAGCATATTCTCCATTGGGTTCAACTAAAAGATTGAAAAGTGTGTGTTGTGTGGGCGCAAGAAGTTTCTAATCACTTCCTCCCACATCTTTTTGCATTCATTATCATTTCCCCTGCAATCGTATCTACTTTTGAGCGTAGCTCGGTTGCCTGATAGCTTGAATCATAACATGAGGGCTCAAAAAAAGTGTTTCAGTTCAGGTGTGTATCACATCAAAAGCCTTATCATTATCTTTCTCACACAATGCAAATTAAAAAAAGAAAACATTGATGCTAAAATTAGGTACAACCGGATGTATAATATAATTTGCCAAACAAAAAGAGAGAAATAGAAATTGACCTTCCAAGAACAGTGGCGAGAGTGTTGAGGTAAGTGTCAATCATCTGGTCTCGAGTGGGGGAAGGGTCCTTGGGGAACTCCAACACAACAAGCCAGTGCTTGTAGTCACACCCAGGAAGCATAATAGTCTCCCTTTCATCCTTGACGCTTCTCCTTACCGAATACTCCCCATTTCCGGTGGCTCTCGGGGGATGAATTCCCGAACCGATTCGGGGTTTGAGGGTGCGGGGGACGAGTGGCGGCGAGAGGGAAGTGGGGAGAAAGGGGAACGAAAGAGATAGCAATGTCGGGGGGATTTTAGGAGGGTTTTCGGAGCGGGAGAATTGGGGAATTAGGGTTTTGAAGAGGGGAGAAAGACTGATAGCTGCCATTCCTCCCCGAGAAGATGATGCTAGGGAATACTGATTACAGACGATTTTAGAAGATGAACATCGCGAAAGTAGCTGACACGTGAACCGGATATTACACTCTTGAGTACTCTTGAGTCTTGACTCTTGAGTTACTTTGGTAGGAAAAAAAACTAAAACAACAATATAATACGGAGTATAGAGAAACAAATAAAATAAGAGTTTTATGTTTTTAAAATTTGAAATAAGAATTAAAATATATAAATATTGTCAATCTTGATTATATATAATATTAAAAAATATTATGAAATATTCATATACTGTGTCACATTATCATAGTATAAATTTTTAATTTGGGATAAAAATATAGAGCTCATATTCTTGTACTTTTCTATGTCCAATCTAGGGTGATTTCTTTAGTTTGATTGTCATCCAAATTATCGGCTGCTTCCTCTGACATCAAAGCCAATGTTAAAGGATGATTCGAATTTCTTACAAGGCTTCGTTGGTAAAATTGATGGTTTCTACCCGCTAACCTTTCATGAATCTCATGTGTCCTACCCTAAATCCACAGTCCCTCTTCACCCCCTCCCGCTCTCCTTCATCCATGGGCTACAATGGTCAGTGTATCCAATCGGCGAAGGAAGGAAGCAGAGAATTAAGAAAGATATGAACCATCAATTTTGTCACGGAGTTCCATAGGAGGTTTGGTTAATACTACGATATTCAAATCGAATGGGTGTTCAAATTGATCTTTCTAACTATTGGTAAAAATATGATCCAATTAAATCGAACAAAATAGCTCAGAGAGCATCCTTCATTTTTTGGTCATCTAAATCTTATTTAGCTTCTAAATGTGTTATAGCAACTTAATTTTACCTTCACTTCAGTCATACTCCGTATCATCTATATTACATTTGTATAGAGTTATTTTACACAAAAGAAGCGTCTTCAACACTGCAAAATCTTACACGGAAGCGTTTTACATGGCTGTGAAATAGTGTCCTCGAAAAGTTGCACCTCTCATAGCAGATCTAGAGCATCTAAATGGTCTATATCGAGTATATCTGGAGTAATTTTTATGTTTTTAATTTTAGGCGAATATGTTAAGTACAATAAAATAGGACAAACAATCATATTAATTGTTGGGCTGGTATCAAAACTTTGTGAAAAATAATTTAGGAAATCAAAACTTTGAGTTGATGATAAAATTAAATTTTAAATCAAAATAAGTTCTCATGACAACTTCATTATCTAGTTTTTACTAAAAGAATTGAGAAAAGCTTGATAATAAATTGGGAGTATAAGAAAATTCACCAAGGTTCAAATGAGATTGGACGGCAATGTCATGGGATGACCCGGGCTCCGGTGCCCTGTTCATAAAATTGACGGTTCCTACCCCCCTAACCCCCCCGGTAAACCCCCCACCCGAACACACCCCCCACCCGGCCCGACAATGTCATGTGATGATCCGAGAGCGCACTGATGCTCCGTTCATAAAATTGACGATTCCTGTCCCCTAACCCTCATGGTAAAACTCTCCACCCCGCCCCGACCCAAAAACACCCTCTAGCCCTTCAATTGCACCGCACAAGTTGATTTTGACTTTGGAGTCAAAATTTGACTCCAAAGTCAAAATCAACTTATAAGATGCAATTGAAGGGGGGTGTTTTTGGATCGGAGCGGGATGAGGAAGTTTACCGAAGGGGTTAGAGAGTAGGAAATGTCAATTTTATGAACGGGACACGGGAGCCCCCGGGCATGGGAACCCCACCGTTATAATTGTTACGAGAGGGAGACTTAGAAAAGAAAAGAAGAGATGGGAGATTGGGAGGGAGGGAAGAAGAGACAAACATAGGTCGTGTGTGGCTTTACAAGTGCTTTCTCTTCTCCATTGAATTAAGAAGGCAATCAATTACGGAGTACTGTAAAGTATAAACGCTACTTTTTTAAACGCCCACTACGTACGCCACTTTTTTTTATTTCATTCGTATTTGCATTAAAAAAACCCAACCAATCAATAGCAACATTGCAATAGCATTATGGGCTCTTAGTTAAAAATATTTAAAAAAATAGTAAAAATTTCAAAATGGTCCTTTTTAATAAGTTATTTTATCAAATTAGTTTTCGATAAACAATAATTACCAATATGATTTTTTATAATTGAGATGCATTCGATCTTTAAATAGTCATCCGTCAAAAATGTCTATTAAATGATAGTTAAATGAAAGGTATTTTTATATTTTCCATCATCTAAACTATGAATAAATTTTCAAAATGGTACTGTCAAATTAAGTAGGTGACTGCTAGATGAACGAACCCACCCCGAGCAGGCTCATGGACTCCATTTTGGGGAAAACATTTATTTACAAATCATCTAAACTATGAATAAATCTTCAAAATGGTCTTTTCAATTTAAGTAGGTGACTGCTAGCATTTACTTAGAAATTATCAGTTTGGAAAAATATTTAATTATAAAAGAGTATTTTAAAAACACACTTTAAGTCTAGATGATAGAATACACAAAAATACCTTTTATTTCACTGACATTTAATAGATATTTTCGGCTGAGAATTATTTATAGAATACATCTCAATTACAAAGGATCACGTTGGTAATTATTAGAAAAGGTCGTTTTGGGAATTGACTCTAAAAAAAGTGAAACGCCTACCCAGGGTGTCCCTATGGCCGACTTGATAAAATAGCGAGAGATTAAATAATGGTATAATTAATTTTAGTCCCAGTGGGCTATATATATATATATATATATATATCCATGTTCCCTACTTATATTATATATAGGTGTAGATTTTAATTTTTAAAGAATCAACATATATATCTTGACTTTAAAAATGGTACATAAATCTATACCACGTCATCATTTTTAGTATTTCACTTGCAAAATTCATCTTGTGTCACCAAAAAAAATTATCTGTACTCTAGACAAATTCAAAGTGTGAAATAAAAATAACCAGTGTAAATTTGATACACCTTTTAAATTAAATTGGTTTAGAAATAATTTAACCCTACCTATGTATCCAATTAAAAGCCAGGCCAAGCCAGCTTCTTGCTTAAACTTAGTTAGCTTAATTTAGCTTCTGTCTTAGCTTGTGGTATAGTGGGGTCATCTACTCTAACTTTTACATATGCTCAAGTGCAGCTTTAATTTTTGAAAAAAATGCTTACATGTAGTGTTAAGGCAGCATAGAATATTTTATATATATATATATATATATATATATATATATATATATATATATATATATATATATATATGCACACATATATACTCCTTAATTTGTTCCAAAATAAAAGTAATATACTACTCCCTCCGTTCTCAAAAAGAGTTCCCACTTTTTCAAAGTGGGAAAATAAGAAAGTGTTAAATTGTAGTTGACTTCCAATTTTGCTTTTGATGTGATGGGTAAAAGTAAGATGTGATGGGTAGATTATTAGAGAAAAAGTATGATGTGATAGGTAGGGTATGAAAAAATAAGAGTAAAAGTGGTTTTTTAATAGAAAGTGGAAGTGTTTTGTTGGAATTGAAAAAATGAAAGATGAAGTGTTTTTGAGAACGAAAAAAGTATACGTTACATAGACTCCATAAAAAGTTACTCCGTATTTTCAAAAGTAAAAAGTATAGTTGAAAAAAAATTAGAAGAAAATTATTGCGACATATTGTGATGAGCCACATAGGATATTTATGCACTTAATAAAAACCGAAAACCCTTTAAAAAGATGTTTGAGTATATATATAAACCTTTTATAAATTATAATTACAAGTATGAACTTTTGTCTGAATTATTGGTTTTTTGACATAATAATAAAACTTTTGTTGCTAATTTGACTACAAATTGTAAAAAAATTACTCGATGCGGAGTATAATTAGTTAAAACGTAAATCTAATACTCCCTCCGTCCCAGAAAGAATGCCACGTTTATTATTTTGGCCTCTCGATAACTTTTGTTTGTTTATTCGTTTTGGTTGACCATTTGATGAAATAAAATATTCTTGTCGCATCTTGTTTTGTAGAACTTTTCATATACTTTTAAATGGTGTAATTTTTATTTTTTTATTACTCTACCAATTTGAAATTAAAGTGATTTTAAAAAAGATGATATTTTGATCTATCAACTTTTTGTAAATTCGAAGTGTTGCAGATATTGGGAGGGAGGGAGTATAAAATTTTGATCTATCAACTTTTTGTAACATTACACACACACATATATATACACACACACACATCCTCATTCATTAAAAATTAAGGCAGACCAATTAAAACCAACAACAACAACAATGTGGCCTTCAACAACAAGAAGCAAAAAGCAGGATCATCATCATCATCCAAATGTGGTGTTTAGCATTTGGGTTTCTGCTCTTCTCTTCTTAGTGTTCATCATCCTCCCTCTTCTTGTACCAGGTTCCCGTCGTCGTCTTGCTAAGGATTCCTTTCCGAGTCTCATATCTTCGTATCGGATTTTGAGTCGTCGTAGCTGGCCCACTCCTTCTTCGTTCATCACCAATGATGCCGCGGCTTCTCTCACTGCAAATAACCCACTCGCTGTCGACACACGAGATGGTTTCCAAGGAAAAGAAGCCGCCGCAGTTGATGATGATGATGATGAACAGCTTATTGCTCATTTCTACACAAATGGTTCTGTAGCAGATAGAGATAATCATCATGCTGCGGCTGCTTCTGATCATAATCAACCATCTCCTCCTATAGTAAGATCATACTCCCATCACTTTCTTAGTACCAAACTCTTATTCTGATTTTGCTCAGTTAGTATTTGTAAACTTTGACTTTAATGTGGAAAGAAAAATTGAATTCTGATATGAGTTTGCCATCATTAGGGTTCATTTTGAAATATCATATTTTTATTCAAAAAAATACTCCCTCCGTCCAGTGTGTTTGACTTTTTCGAATCAAACTTGATAGATTTTGAGCTTTAATTAAATAAAAATTGTAATGTATATTTGTATAAAAATAATTTTATTAGATTTATCTTGTTGAGAACTTTCATAATTTTATTTCATTATACAATTATGCAATACAAATTGAGAGTAATTGAAGCTCAAAGATTGTCTAATTTGACTCGAAAAAGTCAAACGGGACAAACACACTGTGACAGAGATAGTAATTCTTAATATGTATGATGCTTGGTAAAAAAAATGCTTTCATACACAAAAACACAAAGTTTATGATTTCCATCCTAGTTTTATTTCTTTTTGTTTTTCTTAATTTTTCTAGAAAAGTTGATTTTTTGACGACATAGTATCAGAGTCTTGCTCATCTAGCTAGATATCACGAGTTTGAACGGAGCAATTTTTCGGGATGTAACAGGAAGAAGAGAAAGAGAAAAAGACTAGTGGTGAAGAAATGGCATCATCAAGAGGTGCAATTACTAAGAATAAGAAGAAGATGAGACAAAGAAAGGTAGAGGGGATATTGGCAAAGGCAAGGTCTGCCATTAGAAATGCTTCTAGGAGTATGGTTTCCCTTCACCATGACCCTGATTATGTCCCTCAAGGACCCATCTATCACAATGCCAATGCCTTTCATAGGTACCTCAATATGAAATATTTGCAAATATGAAATATTTGCACTAAATAGCACTAAAACTTAAGTCATTTCTCTAAATAGCACTTAAATTGTTTTATTCTCTAAATAGCACTTAATAATGTCCATAATGTCCAGTGATTGCGAATATTTGCTTAAATAATGACTCATGCATAATGACTAAAGGTGTTACATTGGGAAGAAAAACACATGTAGTGCTATTTAGGGAAAGTCATTATATTTTAGTGCTATTTAAGTAAATTCCTCAACCTATATATCATATCCACCTGCTCAGATCTCAAGTCAAACACGTTTAACTTAAGTGAATGAATTGAATTGAAGGAGCTACTTGGAGATGGAGAGGGTGTTCAAGATGTACGTGTACTCGGAAGGGGAGCCGCCGATCTTCCACAACGGACCCTGCAGAAGCATATACTCCACCGAGGGGAGGTTCATCCACCAGATGGAGAAGGGGAGTCTGTTCCGGACCAACGACCCCGACGAGGCGCTGGTCTACTTCCTCCCCTTCAGCGTCGTCGTCATGGTCCAGTACCTCCACGTCCCCGGGGCCCGCCACATGCACCCCATCGGCAACACCGTCGCCGACTACGTCTCCCTCGTCTCTTCCCGCCACCCCTTTTGGAACCGCAGCCTCGGCGCCGACCACTTCATGCTCTCTTGTCATGACTGGGTGAGTATATATACAGATACAAAAAAATGAATCTATTGGTATTAAATTTATGTCACAACGAAACCTGGTTTGGTTTTGTACTGGGTTGTAGGGGCCGTACTCGACGACTTACGTGCCGGACCTGTTCAACAACTCCATCAGAGTGCTGTGCAACGCCAACACCTCCGAGGGGTTCGATCCCCGGAAAGACGTCCCGTTGCCGGAAATCAACCTGAAGACGGGAGAGATCGCCGGCCTCATCGGCGGGCCCTCCCCGTCCAGGCGCTCCATACTTGCCTTCTTCGCGGGCGGTCTGCACGGGCACATAAGGCACGTCCTCCTAGACCGGTGGAAGAACCGGGACCCGGACATCCTGGTCTACGACAAGCTGCCGGCGGACGGCAAGTCGCCGTCGTACGAGTGGATGCTGAGGAACAGCCGGTTCTGCCTGTGCCCGAGCGGGTACGAGGTGGCGAGCCCGCGGGTCGTGGAGGCGATCTACGCGGAGTGCGTGCCGGTGCTGATATCGGAGGGGTACGCGGCGCCGTTCGGCGACGTGCTGAACTGGAAGGCGTTCTCGGTGGCGGTGGCGGTGGAGGACATAGGGAGGCTGAAGGAGATACTGATGGGGATATCTGGGAGCCAGTATGTGAGGATGCAGAGGAGGGTGAAGCAGGTGCAGAGGCACTTTGTGATCAATGGTCCTCCCAAGAGATTTGATCTCTTCCACATGGTTGTTCACTCTATCTGGCTCAGGAGATTGAATGTCCGCCTCGCTTCATGATATTTATTGCTGCCTTGAAATTTTGGGTTTTTTCTGTCTTTGATTGAAACTATTTTGGTTTCAATATATTTAAGAATGTGGCCTTCATGAATTGGTTTTTCTATGAGATTTGGGGTTTGGAATATGGTCGGATAGTCTTTTCAATTGTGAATCACTTGCAAATTAAAGCAATTTCAACGGTATTTCAAGATTCCCACAGGCCACAGTACCATGTAAAAGAGGGTGTTTTATTATGAGAAAATTTGTACAAAATATTGGTTCAACAGGAGTCGGAGACGATAAACGAATCAAAACTTATTCCCTTACAAAAAGTTCGGATGCGACGCACTAGACATAAATTGGGAGAGATGACCAAGGCTCCTTTTACCAGTACGGAGAAAGAGCAGGTGATACTCATGCTTCATTACATTCTTTGATGATCTCAATAGATATGACTAAGTGTTTCTCATTAAGCATAAAAAAAAAAATTCAAGAACAGTATATATTATCCAGTATCATTTGTTGGGATGAACCATCATAGCTACTCACAAAGAATTTGAATACTAATTTTATATGGATTATTTGAATGCTTCAGTTTTTCGTCATTGTACATAACATCTCCTGAACCACTTAAAGCTTCCCGAATTCTCATAGCATCCGCTGGCAAAGCGCACTCCAACTAACCCAAACCTTAGGACGACCCGCATATTAATCTTCCTTGCTCGTCTAGCACCACCATTCCCACCAGGGCAATCTTGGTGGACAGGTTAAAGCTTGCATTCAATACTGCACTTCAAACTATTTGGCGGCGGGGGAACCCATGCGCCGATTGGCTATCCCACCATCCCCATCCAGCTTTGGTGTATTCGCCTTGAGCCAATTGTTATACCAACAAGTCACCTTTGAAACCAGCCCCTCCGCCGTCATGCTCTTATTGTGCCATACAAGTTGATTTCTATGTCCAGAACTCCCAAAGCAGAATTCCCAGTCTGCCCATTTGGTGGGATTTCCTCCCTTGCCTTGTTTGATCCAGCCACATAGCAAAAGAGGTCCCCATGAGAGGAGTTCCTCCTTCAATCAATTGAAAGGGGTGCTCGGCAAAGCCACACCGCACCAGGCAATGAAAACCTGCCTCAGTGCCTCCTCCATAAGATTACTATTTGTGAAAGATTAAATGTGATAGTAAAAACAACACTTTGAGAGGCTTACTTTGAGCCAAGTAAAGGATTTCAAGAAAACTTCATTTGGTAATTTATTTAGAGACTATGGGAGACTTGGTAAAGCGTTGAGCTGCTTTTTTACATGCCTTGTTGACAACCTGAGCAAAACTCCTATTTCAACACTGAGCAAAGCAAGGATAAGGAGGGTACAAAACAATTAAAAACATCAAAAAATCAAACTCATACCATATCATACCTACATAAAACTAAACTAGAGTTTGCAAACTAGAAAACCTTTTTCAAATCCAAATACACAATTATCTTGCCAAGAACTAGCAATATTCAAGACAGCAATCACCTAATGTTTAAGCTTTTAAGGAAGAGTTTAAGGCGTAAACCTGATGTTTAACCCCTCAACATCAGCCTGGGCATCACTCTTCAGAAAGAGTGACAGAAAGTTGCACAACAATCTCCTCCCGCGATGGTGCGGCAAATTGCCTGGAGCAGATCAAAAACACCATAATGCACGTAATTCGACTTTGCAATACCAAATAGGCAAATAGCACCTGTAATACTCCGTATAACCTAAGGCATTTACTATAACAGCATTGTACTATCACGCTTAATCAAGAAAAGCCATGGAAAAGAAATGAAATAGGTGGGAGAAATAAAAAATGCAAAGAAAAGAGCAAAAAAGAAGAAGAAAACGAGACAGAATATAATGCTCAAGGAATAATCTGACAAACACCAGCCATGAGCTCTAGTATGATGTACTCCTTGTTAAAATGGAGTAATGTTGCAATCTCAGAAACTAAAATAGGCTTCAAAATCAGCCAAATCACTTCAATGTTCAGAAAAAAAGAATTAAATTTCAAAAAATTGAGTTTCTGTAACTAAAAAACAACATTAAAGAGGGAAATTCCCTGGCACAAAAAATAAAGTCCACCATTTCTAATTTTTATAGATTAGAGAAGAAAGTAAAATGAAGAGAAAGAACGAAAATAAACACATACAAAGGCACAAAGAAAAACGCTGATTCTGATAATTGAACCTTCAGGCATGAAAATCATCATCAGGTCCGGGAACAAAGCCGTTGGAGCTTCAAAGAGCAAAGATCACAAGGATAGCGATAGACAGATATAGGGATAGAGAGAGAGAGAGAGAGAGAGACGGGTGTGTATGCGGCGTGGCGGAGGCGGAGGTGAGGAGCGAGCAGCAAGCGAAGGAGATCGCTAATCGCATTCAGATTGAAAACTATAAATTCTGGAAATTTCCCATCAATTCATGGATATGATTGATCAGTGTTTTCGTTGTCCACATGTTTTGCGCATCTCCCTCGGAATCCGCCGCTTCAAGCTCGCCGCTTTCCTTCCTCCGCCGCGAATTACGCCTACCGCCAATCCCCGCCTCTGCAATGAGCTCCAACGGCCGCTCCCTGCCCTAAACACTTCCGGCCCCTCCTTTATACGGAGTCTTTAGGGTTTAGATCTGAAACGCTGTCGTTTGAAAAAAAAATTTACACCTTTAATTGGTTTTCCAAAATGTAGAGAACACCAAATTTGACATAAAATGGCACTAATGTAAATTTTGTGTTTATGACTTAGAGGTCTCATTTTTCAAAAGAAATACTCAAAGGTTATCTAAAATTTGTTGTAAGTGATTGTTGGTGCCTCTTCGGACAAACCCCCCATAGGAAAAGGGATTTTGATATTCGTCCATTTTTCTTTCTTATCCATTTCAAAAAAAGCAACAAATGATATTCAGCAAAACACTTTACGGAGTAACATTTAAAGTCAATCGCAATTTCAATCAATTTAATTCGAAGAAATTTGAAATTACAATTTATTCACCAAATGAAACATCAATAATTGAATGACTCACATTAACCTTAATTCCTTACAATACAATAAAATGTTTACCAACAACCACAGAATCAAACCTACCAACGAAGAAGCTTGTCTTCCCTCTAGATGTAGAACACTAGTTGCAAGTTTCCTATGGGAGAGGGTGCAAAGCTTCGTCGGTTTTTGAAGAAGATGAGTATGGCTTATAATGGGTTTCAAAAAATAAAAATAGACAGATAGAGTGAGTTTAACGAAAGTGGCCCCGACAATCACTTATAACAAACTTTAGATACCTTTTGAGTATTTTTTAAAAAAGTGACAATCATAAACTTAAATTAGTACCTAAAAAACATTTACGGAAACTTTTATTTGTTTATGTGTTTTCATTCATTATTTGATAAAATAAAATATTTTTATAAACTTTTCACGGAAACTTTTATTTATTTATATATTTTATTTCTATATCAATTTTTAAATAAAATGGATTGAAAAAAATTAAAATTTCACTTTGTCTTACATAATGTGGGATTCTTTTTCAATAGATGGAGTATTATGTATATTAAGAAGTAAAAAATAATAGTAATGTATGTAATCACAAAAATAGTGGCATGAGAAAAAGTAAAAATAGACAAATTGAAATGATTAATAAACTGTAGTTAGGACTTAGGAACATAATAATAATAATAATAATAATAATAATAATAATAATAATAATAAAGAAAGAAGAAGAAATAAATGAGACTACTCAAAAAAAAGAAAAATGGAAGAAAAATATAGTAAATTGAATATATATATATATATATATATATATATATNCCTTGTGGATAATGAACGAGAAATAATTTTTGGACGAAGAGAGTATTTACCTTGTACACTTTATTGTCTTTTCCTCCCTATACTCATTGCTCATTTGTACCCTTATATATATATATATATATATATATATATATATATATATATATATATATATATATATATATATATATATATAAGGGTACAAATGAGCAATGAGTATAGGGAGGAAAAGACAATAAAGTGTACAAGGTAAATACTCTCTTCGTCCAAAAATTATTTCTCGTTCATTATCCACAAGGTCAAACTTTATTTATTTTGTTAGCCTATTTTCATTGTCAATTTAATAAAATAATATATTCATGTTATCTCTAGTTTTGTAGATCTTTTAAAGTAATTTTTTAATATGTAATTTTTATTTTTTTAATTTTACACCATTTTTCATATAAAATAATTTGAAATCAAACGTCATAACAAGCAACTGAAAGATGATTTTTGGACGGAGGAAGTAGCGAATAAAAATACAGAGTAGTGAATACTCCGTAAGAAATTCTTTTTCAGGACGAAGAATCAATTTTGTCTGGATCAAGTTTAACCAAATTTGATCTCAGAAGTCAAAACGGGAACAAATCAATAGGACAGAAGGAGAAAGCCATATTTCTCATGTGCCAAATCTGAAAAGCAGTTCAATTTCATGGAGAAAAAACAGTACCAGTTCAACCCCAGATACCACAAACTGATGGATGGATGGATGGATGGATGGCATTGTCAAGTTTATAACGTCAACAAAACTCAGACTTAAAATGTGACATGTAGCTGCAAAGGAAGTTCTTTGTCGGAATACGGAAAACAACCAATTCAAGACCCTACGGCGTTCGCGAGGGAGAGAGCATTGGCATCTGGATGGCTTTTAGAACAAAACTGAGATATGGCTGTGTCTGATTCCTCACTTTCCTTGCAGCTGATAGGCGAACCACTTGCCATTTTCCTGTTGTGATCAGATATAATTAACTTAATGCTTGGTAAAGGCATAATCTTTTAGGTTTCTGTCTCATTGTAGGGTTTTATATGGGAATACTTAGTCTATATAGTTTTATAAAGATGGGAAGATTAGCATATGATCATAAAACATTATAATCAATTTCTCATTCATGTAGGAAAACACTATATCACAATATAGGCTAAGCACTCCATGATCTTTCCTTCCAAAACACCCAATCCAAACAGGCGTTAAGTGTAATAGCTTGATTATCTTTTATTCAGTTTTCAAAACACAGTTTATTTTTATAGACTAAGTCCTCCAAAGCATTTCTGTCCAAACCTCTCCATCCAAGCAGTTTTGAAGAAGTGCCAAGTCTATATCATAGTGTTTAATTGAGATTTTAAAAATATTGAGATTTGAGGGA